GGTCCCAGGTTCGATTCCAGTCAAGGGCACATGCCTGGGTTGCAGGCTCGATCTCCAGTAGGGGCATTGCAGGAGGCAACTGATCAATGATTCTCTCTCATCATTGATGTTTCTATCTCTCTCTCCCTCTCCCTTCCTCTCTGAAATCAATAAAAATATATTTAAAATAACAAAACCCTTTGGTGTAGCGATCAGGTGCAGCCACATGCTCCAACACCAAGGCCGTGCTAAGACGACCACCAAAATTTCCTGAGCTCCTACGGCACACTGTCTAAAATACGTTCATTTTGTAAATATATATACATATATATATAATTGATTGCAGAGAGGAACATCAATGATAAGAGAGAATTCCTGATCGGCTGCCTCCTACATGCCCCCCACTGGGGATTGAGCCTGCAACCCAGGTATGTGTCCTGACCGGGTATCGAACCATGATCTCCTGGTTCATAGGTCAACACTCAACCGCTGAGTCACACCGGCCGGGCAAAATGCTGACTGTATCTGCTATTGAAAATTTTTTTTCTTCTTATAAATGAAATGATATGATGCCTGGGATTGCCTTCAAATCCTCCAGCAGGAAGGGAGGAAAGGATTGGCCAAGTGTTGGCGGCTGTGGAACCTGAGTATGGGGGTGGGCACTTCTGTTATGGGCTGAAGTGCGTCCCCCCAAAATACACACGCTGAAGTCCTAACCCCCAGTAACCATGGACGTGACCTCACTTGGAGAGAGAGTTGTTGGACATGTGATTACTTAAAATAAGGGCAAATTGGGGTAGGGCAGCCTCTAATCCAGTATGACTGGTGTCCTTGTAAAAAAAGGAAAATTTGGACACAGACATGCACAGAGGGAGATGTCATGTGAACACTGAAGTGACACTGCCACAAACCAAGGAACTACCAGAAGCTGGGAGAGAGCCTGGAACAGGTCCCTGCCTGGTGCCTTCAGAGAGGGTGCGGCCTGCTGACACCTTGATCTTGGACTTCCGGCCTCCAGACTGTGAGAATAAACTGTTGGTTAAACTGCCCAGTCTATGGTATTTTGTTATGGCAGCCCTAGAGAACTAATGTACCTTCTCTTGGCTTTGGGGTGCATTTGAAATTTTCCAAAGGGAAAACAAAATAATATTTATCTCACGCACCTACTGTGTGCACCTATCCCTCCCTCAACCCTTCAAAGTTGGGCACCTTCTAGCCCCGTCTTGCAGGTGAGGATGCTGAAAGGGGCAGGCCCTTCATTGGGGTCTGACCTGAGACACTCGGAAGACCCCATCCCCTCCCACCCCAGGATGATCTCAAAGAGGCCCATTGGGCACAAAGCTTCCTTAGAGCATTGAACACAGGCCAGGTATACAGCAGGTGCCAAATACACATTGGTTTTGTTTTCTAAGCCACTTGCAAATTACAAGGTGCTCTGAAAACACACAGGGCTCTTACCACTTACGTTCACACCTCCACATAGCAAGTACCTAAGAAACATGTGGTTCTTGCCTCATATCCAGAGGGCACTCAATATATGGGTGGCCTTTTCCTTTGTACACAGCAGGTGCTCAATTAATGCAGGGGAGAGTGCTTAGAAAATTATGTAGGGACTACAAAGCATGAAGGATTATTCACATTCACGCTCATGTCTCCCAGCCACCCCATAGAGAACCTGGCACACAGTAGGTGCTTACTAAATGTTAGAATAAAACAAATATCCCAAGACTCGATAAACATGGTCTCTTCCTTTCTTTCCTGAACTAAAACACAACACATGCTAAAGACATGCACAGTCCCTTTCTTCACATATAAGGTCTTGCAACATGCATGTTCCTTTTCCCTGTATATAGCTGGCGCCTCATAAGTGCATGTTCTTTCCCCTTGTGCAGTAGCAGCTCCGAGGGCACGCTCCCATCCCATGTACAGTTCTGCATCCTAAGTGCACATTCCCTCCCCTTTCCTGGCACCACCTCCTAAGTGCAGTCCTTTCCCCATATACAACAAGTGCCTATTAAGTAACTGCTCTCCTCTGTACACACCAGATGCTCAAGAAGTGCAAGTTCCCTGCCTTCCTGACAGTAGGGGCCCCATGTTGCCAACAGAATCCAGATAGGTGGGGCTTCTGAGCAGCCTCAGAGGCCACTGATGCCCCGCCCCTCTGCGTGGCTCCAAACCTCACCCCCAACCCTCCGGGGACCCGCCCTGCGGCCTCAGCTGCTTACTTGTCAGGCTTGAGGTCTCTGTGCACAATGCCGTAGTTGTGCAGGTATTCTAGCGCCAGGACCGTCTCTGCGAAGTACATGCGGGCCATGTCCACGGGCAGCGGGCCCATGTTCTTCAAAAGCGTGGCACAGTCACCGCCTGCAAGGGGCAGACGTGCTCAGAGGCGAAGTCTCTACAGCCCTGCCCCATGGTTCTAACTCCCCGCCTGGTGCATAAGGTCCCCAGGGGGTCCTGAATCCGGGTGGGGAACCGGACAGGGGTTTGGGGAGGACAGACCCTGCCTCCTGATTTTCCCCGGATGGAGGAGCAGCTGTGTCAAGTGCACAGTGGTTTCCCTGTACACAGCTGGTGCCCCCAAAGTGCATGCTCTCTCCTTGCCTGGTAGCGCCTTGGTGCCCGTTCATGCACTTCCCTGAAGGTACTGCTCTATCCTGAACTGCAAACCTGAAGCCGAATCTCCCCCCCCCCCCCCCCCCCCCCCCCCCCCCCCCCCAGGCCTCTGTCCACCAGCCTCCCCTCCAAGGATGGACATCTTTCCCCTCCAGGGGTCGCACCCTAACAACGGCTCCCAGACACAGATAAACCCTGGGGTTATAAGGAACCTACACATGCTGTTGCTGCCCTTCGGGGCTCTCTGACCCAAAGACTCCCCACCTAACACTCTTCTTTGGGCTCCCCCAGCCCTGATCCCCCATCTTAGGCTGAGGGCTTCCGAGGCAGGCTGGGACCCCCTGGAGGACAGAGCAGATCCCAACCCGGCCCACGGCAGGGCTCTCTCCCAGGTAGCGAGAGGGTGAGCTCCCCGCTGCTGGAGGCATGCCGACCCCGGGACCGCACCTTCCACGTACTCCATGACCATGCAGAGGTGGCGCCGGGTCTCAAAGGAGCAGAACATGCTGACCACAAAGGGGTTCTCCGCAAAGGTGAGGATGTCGCGCTCCACGAAGACCTGCTGGATCTGGTTACGGAGGATCAGGTTCTGCTTGTTGATCTTCTTGATGGCGAAGCGCTGGCGAGTGTCCCGGTGCCGCACCAGGTAGACGGCCCTGGGAGAAAGGCCGGGCTGGTGAGGCCTGCGCTCGAGGCCCTGGCAGGCACGGGAACCAACCTGGGCCCAGGACCCAGCCTGCTGGGCGTTGGCCTGTGCTGTGCTCTCCATCTGGGACACCTTTCCCCATACCTGGCCCCTCTCCCAAAGCAGCCACCATAGGCTTCAGCTGCCCGCCCTGGTGTCCTACAAATGAACCAGATATGGCCCTGGTGTGCCGGCCCTGAGAGTATTTATTCATTCACAGCAGGCGGAGACCCATTAACTCAAACGCCTGCACCCAACTCAGGGGTTTAAATATAATCCAAATGAGCAGATTTTTAGCCATTTCGTGCCGGCTGGCTTTATAGACTTGATGAAACTGTACCCAACGGCTCCCAGACACAGATAAACCCTGGGGTTATAAGGAACCTACACATGCTGCTGCTGTCCTCTGGGGCTCTCTGACCCAAAGACACCCCCCCTGGCCACTGGCCCCCTCTCCCATCTTGCTCTGATGGTCTCATGCTGTCGGGGACTCCCCACGCCCACCGCTCTGCAAATCCCCTCTGCAAATCCGTTGAAGTGGCCAATAATGCTCACTGCGTGCTACTGCCACCATGTGGTCATCTTTTTTCCTGGCCAGAACCCCCTACACCTGGATCAAGGATGAGTATACATTCAAGGTCGTGCCAGCTGTGTTGCATCTCCATATCCCTCTGCAGGCCTCAGTTTCCCTGCCTGTGCACTCAGAGGCTGCTGGGCCTTAGCCATCTCTGTGGGCATCTGAGAAATGGGTTTGTGGGGGACCTGAGGACTCACCCATAGGCCCCATTGCTAATGAGCTTGATGGTCTCGAAGTCACTCTCACATGGCTTCCTCCGTGACGGACCAACCAGGGCACGGCTCTGTGGGACAAGAAGGGCTCAGGGTCCTGACTCCCTGAGGAGTGGTTTGGGCTCCTCCGGCCCCCAAATCTTGGTGCCTGATGCTACTTTCTCTCCCATCTAAACCCCAACTCAGTGTCCAAGTTTCTGAGCTTTTGCTCAAGATGTGCCCTTTACCCAGAAAACTCCTACACATCCTTCAAAACCTTTCCAGTGCCCCCTCCAGCCCTGCCCAACCTACACAGTACAGCAATCTAACTTCCCCCATCTTCCCCTCATAGTCACAGGCATTTATTAGGCACCAGTCATGCAAAACTTCTGCAAACCCAGCCCCTCCCACAGCTGCCTGGAAAGAACAAGACAGGTGTAGGGACCCAAAACTTTGTGCCTCACCTCCAGGGACTCAGGGGCTGGGGGCTGTCCTTTGTCATCAAGGTGACTCAGAGGCACCATCTCTGCAAGACAAGGGAAGAAAGCCTTGAATGGGGCCTCTCCACCTTGCCTATCACCCAGATTTCCTGAGGCCTCCAAGGCTCATCTGGGGCTAGGGCTGTGGCGCCTCCCCTGCCCAGCTCCCATGGTACTGCCAATGGGCCCTGACCGTGTCCAAGTCTGAGCGGAACTCAGGAGGCCGGAGTAAACAACTGAGGAGCTGTCTAGAAGGACGAGCAGGCAGCCCAAGCTCCAGCTACTCAGCTTTCATCAAACCCTGGCTCCTAAAAACCTCCTAACTCAGGGTGTGGCCAACGGGGAGGAGCCCCCTTACGGTCCCGCCCCAGGTCTTGGCAAAAGGTTGGGCGCGGTGAGTGGTCCATGAATTGTGAGCTGTGACAGTGCCAATGAAGTCTCACGGTCCCAGAGTTAGTCTGGAATGGGGTGGTGGAGCCTCAGGGGTGAGAGAGACCTGGTTCAAATGCAGCCCCTTCCACTCTCAGTGGCCCCCCCAAGGTATTGGGTAGATGTTCTGCCCCCACAGCCTCAGCCACCATCTGCCTCACCACTTCCTACATCCTCTGACAGCAGGCCCACCCCCAGCGCTATCTGAGTTATTTCCACTGGACAGACAGGAAGCCAGCTTCGGCCACAAGGCCAGTCCACCAGTGGTCTGGCCTCGGGCATACCTGTGTCTGATTCCCTGCTCTAGCTCATCTGCCTAGAGCAGTGATGGCGAACCTATGACACGCGTGTCAGAGGTGACACGCGAACTCATTTTTTGGGTTGATTTTTCTTTGTTAAATGGCATTTAAATATATAAAATAAATACCAAAAATATAAATCTTTGTTTTACTATGGTTGCAAATATCAAAAAATGTCTATATGTGACAAGGCACCAGAGTTAAGTTAGGGTTTTTCAAAATGCTGACACGCCGAGCTCAAAAGGTTCGCCATCACTGGCCTAGAGCCTCAGTCTTTCCCGCTTTGAATGGGGACAATGGGAGCCCAGTCCCATGTTAGCACAGCAATAACGCTAGGTGAACACTGGCCACTGAAACCAGGCCTGGCCAACCCCCTTGCCTCCAGCCAGCTCCCCTTGTCTGAGCTATACCCCTCTCCGCTGCTCTTCCGACATGCCAGGCATAGTCCCACCTCCGGGCCTCTGTAGTTTCCCTGCCTAGCTCCCCCTTTTTCTCTCCCAGACCTGCATCTGGTCACCTCTCCATCCTCAGCCTGAACATCACCTCTTCCCAGAGCCTGCCCTGACCACCCAGGACAGGCCATTCCCAGTTCCATCCTGGCTGTTTGGGGGAGTTCTTGTCTGCAGGTGGCCTGAATTGGCTCCGAGTCCACCCCGGGGGCCACCGTCAGAGGAGACTGGAAACAGGCTTTGTGAATTTGCAGGACGATGTGAATGTCAATGCCAGTGGTGGTCCCCTGGTGCCCTGGCCCATTCCACTTGGCGTTTAAGAACACAGAGGTCCCAAGGCCCTGGCAGGTCAGGGGGTCCAATGTGCAGCAACCTGACCCTGAAATCTCGGGCCCTTTCCCCATAGTGGGTCCCATAGGTGACCAAAGGCAGAGAACAGAGAGACAAAGATAATACGACTATACCCCTGCCTCTCCTCAGTCTCCTTTACCTCCCTGCCCTGCGTCAGCTTACCCTCAAGAGGGTCCTTCGTCAGGCCCAGCTGCCCAATGATGTACTGCGGCAGGTCCGTCTTGATGCCCTGGCCCGCTCGAGCCTGGCCCTCGGCGGCCTCCAGCAGGTGGTAGAATTCTTCAGGGTCAAACTCCTGGGGGTGCAGAGCTCTGGTCAGCCAGGGCTTGGTCTCTCCTCCAGGCCCCTGCAAATGCTGTTTCCTCTGACCTGTGGGTCCAACTTGTCCCCGGGGCCCCCTCCTACAGGAAGCCCACCCAGGCTGGCAGCCTCTCCGGGTCCTACACAGTGAGAACTGTGTCTTGTCTCCCGGGGACCTGGTCTGAGCTCTGCTCGACCTCTGCGCTGAGGAGACTCACGAGGCACTCGAGGAGCCTTGCTGGCCGTGAGATGATGATCAGCAGCTTCCGGACCAGCTGGACAACGAAGCCGACCTCCTCACTGTCCGAGCGCTCGTGGGCCTGGAGGCGGGTGGGCGGGACATCACTCATAGGCCCTAGTCCCTGTCCTGCCCCACCCGGGGCCCCCCAGCACCGAGCCCCCCACACACATCCTGCAGCAGCCTCTCCAGCTTGTCTTGCATCTCCAGGAAGTAGCGGGAGGTGACCAGGGCCTCTCCAGACTTGGCCAGGCAGTCGCGGGCCAGCTCCACAATCTGGTGGTGGATGAAGCCCAGGACGCCATCGGCCAGTGCCAGCTGGGCACCGGGCGAGTAGGCCGTGAGGAACTCCTGCAGACGGCCCTCCATCTGGGCCGTGGCCTGGCGGGGGGAGATGGGAGACCTGGTCATCGGACGGGACTGGGGAACAGCACATGCAGATGGAGGGCAGGAGCGACAGTGGGGGGAGAGAGGTGACCATGAAGCTGATGGGGTCGGAGGACTGGGGGGAACATCTGAGACCCGGAGGGAGAAATAGAAATGGACAGATGTGGGGACACAGCCAGGACAGAGACTGCCTGTCTGTCACAGGAGGGGCAGCAACGTGGAGGGGTGTTGGGGCCCATCCAGCCACAGGCACTGCCCACCTTTGGGAACCTCTCCCGGTACACATGATTCATCATGACGATCTCATTGTCGAAGGTTCCTGTTGTGCGTCCAGGGCTGAAGGGGGGTGATGATCAGCTTGTGACATAGGACCTGAGACCCAGCCCAGGGGGAGGGGGCTGAGCCAGGCTAGGACAGGGTCAAGGCCAGAAGGGAGGAGGAGCCAGGTTTTCATCCAAAGCCAGCCCAGGGAGGTGCCAGGGCACGGGCTAGAGGTCAAAGCCCACCTGAGGCTACGGGAGCGGGGTCGAAGGCGGGGCGAGCGGTGGCCACCCTCCTCATCAGCCACACTCTCTGAGCTGCGGAAATGCTTGGACAGGAAACGCAGTTCGTCTGGCGTCGGTTGGAAAGGAAGCTGGTGGAGATGCTCCCGGGAGGATGAGCTCGACTGGCAGGAGGGGGTCAGAGTCATGGGTTGATGGTCAGCCCACAACCAGGACCCCAGCACTATTCCTA